AAGGCTTTCGAGCTCGATCCGCGTCATCCAAACTGCGGATAACCTTCTCCAAGCGTTCGCAGGCCGTCGCATGAACGCTCCTTGCTCGGCTTTTCCAGTGGGCCACCAAGCCTTGCAGCCGTTCCTTGTCCTTCTCGAATTCCCGAGAAAGCAAGGTCTGAGCCTCAGTCAGCTCGGCTCTTACCGCTTTTAGCTCTGAGCTCTCCTGCTTCAGCAAGTCAACAGCCGTATGGAGAGAGTCGTTGATCTGGAGCTCGGTGGCGAGACGTTCCTCCGCCTTGGAGACCCTCTCCTGTAGCTCGGCAACCCTAACCTGTTCGTCGTACAGCGCGACTTCATACGCTGCGACCAAGCTGTTGGTCTGACTGGCGAGCTGCATGAGATAAAACATGAATTAGAGCTCATACTTAAAAAAATAATAAAATGAGGAAGTAGAATCAGAAAGTTACCACAGCAGTTGTACGTGCGATCCCTTTGTACATATTAGGGAAGTGGAGCTCGGGAACTGCCGGCAGACTCGGGACCTGAGAAGAGATTTTGTGGTAGAGTTCGGCACAAGCATTGATGTTTTCCTCAAAAGGAGTCTCCTCATCATAATCAAAACAGACTTTGGCCCTCTTAGCCGGCTCTGGCCCTGGAGAGTCTTCAGTATGGTCCTCAGCCTGTCTCTTCCGAGAATGAGAAGCCTCAGCTCGATCTTGAGAAAGAGCGAGGTCCGACGCCATAGCCGTCGGTGGGTTGAGCTCGGCGGGTGCATCCTGCGCCCGAGAAGAGTCTTCAATCCTCTTAATTTTCTTCGAAGACTTCTTCTTCTTCAGTTTCTTCTGACCAGCTTGGTCAGGCGAGTTCGCAGCAGGCGGCAACTCTTCTGGTTGCTCATTGGTCCCTTCGGTAGCAGGGATAGGGGTCGGATCTGCCACGTTCGGCTCCTCTTCGTCGAAAAGAGTAGGGATCTCGTCCAGTGAGAGCATCCTGGCAGTTCGGGTTCGTTTGGCTCGCGATTTAGGCACCTTTCGTCTTGGAGCAGCTCGGGGCTTGTTAGCTCGAGTTTTTGGCTTCCGCGGTTTCGGTTCCCTGACGGAAGCTGCGAGGGAATCATGTCAAAAGGAATTCCAGAACGAACTCAAAATAAGAACATAGATGTGAACTCAATGACCGAACCTGCTTTCTTGGCTCGGCGCTGAAGAATCTCTTCCCACACTTCAGGCCAACGACGTTTTCCGGCTTCACTAAAGGCTGCTTCAAATTCGGAGGTGAGTCCGGAGTTGAGAATAATGCTCGGGAGATGATGACCTGCAAAGATGAACCATAAAGAGTTAGATATCAGAGTTGCTGACGGTGAAATCGTTCATCTCAAGGTAAAAGTACTGAGACTCCCAGTCGTTGTATTTACTGGGTTTGACCCCAGTAACGAGGTTATTTCTTGGCTTGGCGTTCGCTGCAAAGAACCACTCCTTGGATTTGTGGATGTTAACCGAGAAGAGGTCTTCGAAGAGCCGACTAGTTGGAACCTCGCTGAGCTTGTCACAAAGAGTAACGAAACCAACATAGTTCGTTATCGACGCAGGCATCACTTGCGTGAGAGCTACGCCCCGCCGATTGCAGTACCCGAGTAGACGAGAGGGAATTGGAAAGGAGAGTCTGCATTGCGTATATTACGTTAGGTAAATACAGAGGAAACCTTCGGGGACGTCCCACAGCCGATCTCCAGCTTCTGGAATTATAAAGATGACTCGGTCCGAGAGCCCGTTTTCTTCGAGCATGGCACGAACAGCACCCGGAGAAACAGAAGAAGATGGCACGTTGTTGGGACGAACGACTTTGCGCCTCGGAAGTGGTGGCGAAGCATGAATCACAGCTTCGAGGTTATCCTCAGCAGCTTCCGCCTCGATAGCGTTCTCCTCCTGATTTTCTTCTTCAGGTTCTTCGACCTCTTCGATCTCATGGTCGATATCACCAGTGTTCGGCCCGATCCGAGCTTCCGTTTCGCGAGTCTCTGTCGCCAGTTGCTCGGTCGCTTCGACTCGCGGTCGAGAACGGCTACTGCTAGCACCAGCCGACTTAAAGTTTTTGCGGACTAGCTGCGGAGGATTACTCTCTCCCTGAGACGAGTTCGATAGATGAGGGTTTGAAGAGGAAGAGCTCGGCTCCGAGGATTCGCGGCGATCTTCCAGAAGGATTTGATTAGAAGAAGAGTTAATCGAAGAACTAGAAGACATTTTGGGTTCGGGAAGGTAGAATCGAAAGGAGATCTGAGGATAATGAAGAACAGTTTGAAGATCAACCGGAAAAGATTGAAGATTGATCGATTTGAAGATCGAACGGGAAACTTGAAGATAGATCGGAAAAATCAAGGAATCACGGCGGCGAAAGTTGAAGAAACGAGAGAAAAACTACAAATGAAAACTAGAGAGAGAAAAAAAATCTAGAGAGAAGGGAGAGCAGCGTACCTTATATATGCTTGAACGAGAATAATGAATGCGAGAAGAAGTTTTTCCCTTATAAACAGTGGGAATCGTGGTTCCTCGATTTTCGAAAAATCCCGGAATTCACGCGCCTCATTGAAGACAGGGTGCGAAACGTCCAGAATGCAAATCAACTGCAGTTACCGAGCTCGGTTTGTGATCTACTTTGAATCAAATGAGTTCGACTAAAAGTCATTCCCTTTCATCGAACTGAGGGGGGGGGGCTAACTGTTGGAGGTGAAAATCGCACCCTGGTTTTCTCCGGTACAAACCGAGATCGGTGTAACGTAAGCCCGGTTCACGAAGGAATGTACCGGGAAGACTGGGCCGAGTAAAGACACGGGCCGAATGCAGTCCATTAAGCCGAGGTCGGCGAGAAGTTTCTCGAAGGAACCGAGAAGTTCCCCGAGTTCGGTCAAGAATGGAAAGTTTCCTAATGGAAAAAAGTAACTACTATGAGAAAAGGAAAATGACCGAGAGAAAAGGAAAGACCTCTCGGTCCCATATCGCCGAAGATGTATTTGACGACCGACTCAGAGGATATATATAAAGGAAGATGAATTGACACCAGAGAGGACAAGATATTCCAGAGAAGACTTAGAGACTGAGAACTCATTACGCTAGATTCTTAGTTTCATAAAGTCTTAGTTCGTTGTTATCTGCTTAACTACCAAACTCAGTTGTATTCTCTCGATTCGATCTAATAAAAACCGAGTTTGCCGATCTAAAGTACTGTTTTACCCCTTGTCGATATTCACTTATCAACAGTTTCTATTAAAATCAATGATGATGTCGATCTCAACTATGTCTGAGTAGATCCCGAGTTGGGCATAAGGTTCTCGAAGGGCTCTCAAAATCGATTAAGACATCTAGGTTTTTGGATCTGAGATTTTATTTATGTTCTTGATTTATTCTTATTCTTTATGCATATATGCTTGATTGATCACCTAGCGTCTGATCTAGATAGTTAGTGTTACGAAAGCTTTCATTAAGTGTCCGACTTAGAATGAAACGAGTGATTCTACCATAGGAGAAGAAAACTACCTATGGGTGAATCTTGAGTACTGATGAGTCTTGTACAAGCTATTGTGTATATTTTTGAATGGGGCAAGAGTCGAAAGCTACTGGTCAGGATCGCGAGTGACAGTTGGTTATGATCACGAGAGTAACATAGTCATATCGCCCTACTCTAGCTCTAGAACCGTAGATATTTATATCACCCGGAAAAACATGATCTATAACCTAAGTTGTCTGAAACCGATTATGATCCTCTAGAGAGTTCCCGAAAGCCCAACATTTTTAATATTGTTTATAACTTCGATTACTTACTTGCTTTCTTAGATTCTTCACTTTCATTTGCATTCATTTGATATTTGCTTGTTTTAGGATATTTTTATTTTTTTAGATGGTGACACACCCCAAACCTCTTAAAACCTATTTAGTCTAGACATAAACTTAGAACTCATGGAACACACTAGGCACACAAATCCCTGTGGATTCAATCCCTAAGTACTCAACCGATCAGTTGTGCACTTATAGCCTCGTTAATCTATTTAGGGTAAAACTTGTTAGGAAGTACCCACATGTCGCATTCAAGTTTTTGGCGCTGTTTTCGGGGATTTGATTCGCTGCCTCTTTATTTTATTGTTATAATTTCTGTTCTAGACACTTGATCTTTAGTTCCTTTTTAAGTTTTTTGATATCTCTTTTATGTTTTCTTGTTTTTTAAAGGTACATGAATACTAGGCGCAAGCCTGCAGCACACATTGCGATCCTAGACGAGATTGACAGACACGATTAACAGACGAGATTAATAGACACGAAAGAAAACCTCGAAGACTTAGGAGAATGTAAATGATGGCAGACTATCCAGACCATCATGGATATCCTTTAAAACACAATCTTAATGATGACAATGACGGATCTGATCATGGTGATGACCGAGTGGATGATCATAGAGGAGATGATCAACCTCAGCTCGATGGAGATGGAAACAAAACCCCTCTGAGAATTCCTAAATGCCGAGATGCTGTAGACCCGAGAAGAGAAGAGCGTGCAGACCTTGATGCACCAATCCATGCTTCCGAGAATGACAACAAATGAGTACAGCCGAATGGATGCAACAACTTCCCTATCCAGCCCGCAAATCAACACCGAAGACAAGCCCGAAACCATCACATAGATGACTTTGATGCACAAACTCAGAATTTATAGAACCGATCGGCGATTCAAGTATCTTTCCCAAACCAGAATGAGTTCGAAGTCAAGCCACATATCATTTTTGTGGTGAAACAAAACCATTTCCAAGGAGTCCCCTCTGAATATCCAATGGATCACATTGAGCTCTTAGAGATTTGCAGCATGATGAGAACTAACCAAGTTCCTGCAGATTATCTTAAGTGTAAGCTTTTCCCTTTTTCATTAAGTGATAAAGCTCACCGTTGGTTGAAATCTTTGCCTGCAGGATCGATTACTAACTGGTAAGAGTGCAAAACTGCTTTCCTTAACCACTTTTATATTAAGTCAAGGTCGAACCTTTTGAGAAATAAAATCCAAAGCTTCCAACAAGATCCGGTTGAGTCTTTTTATGAACCCTGTGAGCGTTTTATGGAGTATGAACGTGATTGTCCACACCACGGCTGTAACACCCCCGATTCGATCTATGAATAGAAAGAACCCAGAGTGCTACAGAATGATAACAGAGACAATCCTGCCAAAACGTCCCATACCGTCTTGGCTAGACCGCGTCCGATACCATGACTCTCGACCAAGGCCTAAGGCTTTTCAACCTGTTCCCGGTCTTGAGTTGTTTCGACCCAGACAAGGTCTAATATCAGGAAAAGCGAGGAGCTCCATAAAAACTCTCTTTTATTAATACTTAATAAAGTATGCTTACAAACGGTTACCAAAAATCATATAATTGAGCTCGAGTCAAAATAGTCTTACATAAGACAATCTATTATGCTTACACTCACAACGTTAAACTACTCCGGCGGCCTAGCGTCCCACGAACCCTCTAAGGTTTCCCGTCTATAGGTTACCTGCAGGACAAAATTCGTATAATGAGCATTTCTACTAAATGCCCAGTGAGTCCGGAACCCGTCTACGGTTAGTCACCCCGACCCAACCCCAAAATAGCCGAAGCTCAACAATTGTATGAAAGCAATGAACACTCAACATGCACACAAACAGTTCAATGCAATCATCACGCAATCACACACAACATCAAGCAACAATCATCGTATGCACATGCGGAAGCTAAACACAACTCAACACACATAAACGACCGTACGGGATCCCTACATCCTACATGCCTTACTGCACGATTTCTATGACACCTTCTAGCCCGACGAACCTCCCGCACATTCATAGCCACTCAGGCACATGAACCGGATTCGCTTCCGACTTCGCGGTCCTTCACTCGACCAGTCGGGCCGCATCGTCATGCAGCACTCGGCCATGGGAGCGACCCAAGTATCCCTCCGAGTCTCTGGGCTTGTGTCCTAACACACCACAAGGTTCCACTAACCTTTTCCGTGGTTCACGCAACAAACAAACAAACCACAGATTCCTCACTGAATCTCCACCGTGGTTTTACACAAAACACACATAGCTCCATAGGGGTTCCTTCCTGAATCCCCTCATGACCTTTCCAGTTTTTTAGCAAAGCCAACGGCCCGTGGTGACCATAGTCCCCTCACGACCAACCATTACTAAGTTCGTTCAAAGGCTAAGTGTTTTTCCCCGACTTAAAAACGAGACTCTAACCCAAATCTCATAATTAAGTCTAACACTAAGCCACACAGAAATACACAAAATCACACAACACCCAAAAGCAGAGAAGTGGTGGTTGCAAACCGGCAATACCACTAACTCCCGTATTTCGGAAGTAGGATCACACGTGAGTCACCGGACAACACGGGATCGCTCACAACCTCACTCACAAACAAAATAATACCTAGCACTCAATCACGCAATCTACTTTTAACCGTGGATCGCAGTCCCACCTGGACCGATCCATGGTTCCCTGCACAAAGCCATTAGTTCTTATCTACTGGAACTCACCCTTTTACGCAGATCCCGCTCCGATCTTAACCTTTCTTGCTCCTAACTCCGAGATTCCCTTAGATCTATAACCATATAGACCTAATGAATAACTAGGACAAGATCTAAACAGAAAAAGGTTTACTCTACGGCTTACCGACCGTCCGCTGAGCCAGCACCGCGCTACCATTCCCCGCTAGCTACTCCTACTCGAAATACTCACCATTTCTCTCTTTCTCTCTCTACTTTCTCACTCTAGAATTTCTCTCTGATTTCTAAGTGTGGAAAACTAAGAGCTGAAGGTGGGTATTTATAGGTTTCAGGGTGGTATCCATGCGCTGACACTTGGTAAACACTTGTTAAAAATGCTGCGCGCGAGTCATCAGCTTTGGACACTAAGCTGCCTTGCTTCCACGCTAAATGTGTGGTCCAGAAACAGACACACCATTGCATAAACACTAAGCTTATTCCTTTCTGCGCCAAGTGTATGGACCAAGTCTAGCCACATCTGTTCTTATCCGGAAATAACCTCCACCAAAATCCGCAATTTGGTTACTGATCCAAGACGGTCTGACTGGCCTTGATACTCGCTCAGGGTTCCTCGGCCAAAATCTATTTCCGTCGACCAAAATCCATACTTTCCAGTTCTGCGAAGCTTTTACGCTGAACTATGTTGGATCACAAGGACCATATTTGAGTCGCTTCAACAATGGTTTCAACAACAACTTCCGCAATGCCAACTTCAATAATCTCTCTTACCAAAATTTAAATGTAGAGAATCCCCAAGATCAGCAATACCCGATGCAGCAGAGACCATTCCAAAACAAGTTCCAAAACAGAAATTACGGAAGAAATGGAGACTTTCAGCCGCGACCACCCTACAACTACCAAGATACGTGATTCAATAATCAATATGGACAACAGCAAGGAGTCACAACAAACCAACTAGCCTCGGAAGACTGGAGCTACTGGTCATGACTAATGAGAAGACAGCTAAAGACATAAACATGAAGGTTGATTGTATGTACAATGATCTAAACTGGAAGTTTGAAACCTTGTCCACCCACATCAAGAAGCTAGACGCTCATGTTATCTAGACAGCCGATTCTATGAAGAGACAAAATGGAGCTCTTCCTGGAAGAGTTGAGGAAAATCTTAAAAGGTTCTGCCATGCTATCACCCCATTGCTCGAAGAAGAAGCAAAGGCCGATGAAGGAGACAAGGAGATCTCAGTTTTCGTGCCTCTCTACAAGGATGTCGACAGCAACCACTTATTAAGGTATCTCAACATTTTCCTCTTCAAAGGCTTACCAAAGCCGATGATCCAAGACGTTTTTCTTTCCCTTGTTTCATTTCAGGAATCAAGTTCACATATTGTCTATGCGATTCCGGAGCCAATCTCAACTTCATATCCAAGACATTTTCTGAGAAATTAGGAGTAAAAGCACTCAAGAAATGAACTGTTAAAGTGATTTTTGGAGATCCATCTCAAAAGGATACTGAAGGAGCTATTCAAAACCTGAAAATTCTTGTAGGAGATAAAATTGTTCCAGCAGATTTCCAAGTCCTCGAGATGGATCAAGACAAAGAGAGACCACTCATCTCTGACCGCCCATTTCTAGCAACTGTAGGCACAGTAATAGACATGCGAACCAATGTGCTGTCTTCCTGAATGTGGATCATAAGAATTACTATCCTACTGTCTGAGATGAAATCCAAGATGAAACAAAGAAGCCTAAGGGAAATCGGAAAAGAGAAGGACAAGGAGAAACCAATTCAGAAGACAAGGCCTTTTGTAAAAGTTAAGATTGTTGTTCCACCAGATATAGCGGAAACAATGAAGAACATATAAATAAATTGATTAAAGGCACTAAAGAGGTCATGAACAATGTCAAAGTTCATAAGTAAATTAAAGGAAAGAAGTTGGTACTACAAGGAGAGGAAGCTATATCAACAAACATCAAGGAGGTTCCAGGCACATCTAAGAGAGTGCCTTATCCCCTTGCTTGATCCTCTTCCCTAAAGTCGAGCTAAACTACTCAAAACAAAAGCGCTTATGGGATGCAACCATTTTGGTATATTTTTTTAAGTTTTTGTTTCTTTTTCTATTAATATTTCTCTTTTTTTTCTTAGTTTCAGGTGTTCTTTTAATACAAAAAGACAAAAAAATAATAAAAAAATAAAAAAGAAGTGTCGGTTTTTGATTGCTCGGCGCAGCAAAAACCAAGGAAATCGACCTCGACCCCGTGAAAGTTGCCGCGGCCAGGCCTTGGTTCGCCGTGGTCGCGTGTTTTCTGACCGCGGCCGTTGATCGTTGAACCAAGCCCCTTCCCCCACTATTTTTTCTGCATTACCAATCCGAACCAAATCCGGTCCAAACCTTTCTGCAATCCCATAAGCTTAAAAATTTCCTGGTTTTCAATTACATAATCATCAAGCCAAGATAAGTTCCAGAAAGATTTTGAAAAATCAGAGAATTTTCCTTTTGGCCCTAAAAACACTTTTAAAAAAGAAAAAAAAGTAACTTTTTGGATCAAAGCCCTTTTTCTTCTTCTCTTCCAAAAGATTTGGAGATTTAGGAGCTAGAACAACTCTTACAATTCTTAAGCTTTTAAAGTGATTCTTTGGCCAGATCTCACTCTTTTAAAAAGTTGATTTCAAATCTCTATCCATATTTCATTCTTACCCAAGGTATGAAGCTTAATCTCATTTTTTTTCTTTTAGTCTTAGGATTAGGGTTTTCCTAAAAGCTTAGATCTAGGTCTGTTATAGATGGAAAATGCTTAAGAACTTTAGATTAACCCTGTAGGTTGTTTGGAAATTGATTAGCACATGGTTGATGAGAATCTAAGATTTTTGGAATTTGGAATTTTCAAGCTTCTTTGAGAAAAAGAATTTGGAGGAAGTAATTGACAAATTTAGTCGAGTCTTGTGTGATTAGTGATTAGTAGTAGGTAATCTACATGTTTTGCATGGAAACTACTTATTCAAATCAGTTTTTAGAAAATTTCTATGTCAAGAACACCATAAATCCGAATCTGGTCATGAACTACTCGATTTTTTGAAATTGGTACCAATACTATCTAAATATGTATCCTTGATCATTAATCTTGTCTACCAACAGCCATATTCACTCTTTTTTGCCAAGAAATTTTCTTTTTTTGTAAGAACATACAATCTTCTAGATCCAAGAAGAGCAGTAATAGTAATGATAACTCAGAGATAGCACACGATGACAGCACTCTGGGAGAGTACATCCTGAGCCAAGCTAGACCAGGAACAAGAGCCCAGATAATGAAGCTCCTCCAAAGACCACACAAAGCCACTCCACTTCCTAATCCACCAAATATTCGATACATCAGGAAAGAGATGAACCTGAGGACCGACTATGCGAGAAAGTTCAAGAAGCTGAACATCAAACCTTGCATCGACTATCACACTCTGGAGATGCTTGGGATCAGAGACGATGTTGCTTGGTAAATCGATGCTCTTGGATTGCAACCATACATGGAGCTGAATCTCCTCACTTATGCTGATCTAGTCTGCGAGTTCTTATCGACCGTCACTCTTCACTATACGAAGAGGAGAACCCTAAAGC